GAGAGCAGCAAACAGGTATTATTTCCCTATCTGCAGTCTGGGGCAGTCCAGCTGGGTGGTTCTGGCTCAGGATACTGCAGGAAGCTGTGGTGGAGACATTGGAGGTTTGCCTGAGACTGGCAGCTGCTTCTGAGACCATCTTTTCAAGTCCTGGCAGGAGGCCTCTGCTCCTCACTGACTGCTTTCTGGAAGGTTCTGTTCCTCACCACATGGTCTTCACCATCAGTCTGCTCATGGCATGACAGCTGGCTTCCCCTGGAGAGAGGGAGCTAGAGGAAGTCACCAAGACAAGAGCTGAGTATTTTCTATAAGCTAATCTTGGAAATTTTATACCACTGTGTCCGCCATGTTTTATTGGGTGCACAGACAACAGCAGTACCATCTGGGAGGTTGGGGGTCATCCAGGGCCATCTTGGAGACTACCTGCCTCAAGCTCCTACTGTTCAAAGAGAGAAAAACCCACGCAGAAAAAAAAAAATAGACAATATAAAAAGTCTGTTTGTAGAAAGAGCATATAAATAAATAATAAGGTTTATCTTACGTGTGAAATGATGTTCAACCTCATTCAAAGTTCGAGTAATGTCAGTTAAACTTGTGTGGAGATATAATTTCCACCCCTGAGACTGGTAAAGAGAAAACACAAAGTTATAACTCGCTTTGTTGCTGAGGATTTGAGAAAACAGAGCCTCATGTTTTGTCAGGGATGGTAGACGCTGGTGAAACCTCTATGAAGAGTAATTTGGCAATAACTATCAAAAGTAAAAATATGCATATTCTTTGATCCACTTCTAGGAATTTATTCTAAGTATTTTCTGGCACTTGTGCAAAATGATGTCTGTATAAAGATGCTTATTGGAGTGCCAACTTATCATAGTGAAAAATTAGAAACCATCTCAATTTCTTTCAATAGGGAACTGATTAAATCACAGTGATATGCATATAATAGAATTTTCTGTATTTCTTTAAAAAGAATACAGCAGCCCTCTTTATGCTGATTTAGAATTTCCAGCAACATGTACTAAAAGGTGTGAAAGTAAGATGCCAAATATCACATTCATTTGTGTAAAAAAATATGCATATTCTTATAATGCAACAGAGTATCTCTAGAAGCATGACCAAGAGATTGAGACTTGTAGGTGCTATTGAAGAAGGGAATTGGGTACATAGGTTATATGGTGGTAAGAAGTACCTTTTTATGCATTCCCTCTTGTACATTTTTTATTTTATAGTATGTGCATGTATTGACCATTGTCTCAGAATGTTTTCTGTTGCTATAACAGAATGCCTGAAACTAGGATACTTATAAATAAAGAAGTTTATTTTGGATAAGTTTCAGAGGTCCAAGAGCATGACACCAGCATCTGCTTGGCTCTGGTAAGGGCCTTATCCTGTGTCACAACATGGCAGAGGGTCAGAAGGGGAAGCAAGCAAGTGCAAAGAGTAGATAGGCTTGCAAGAGAGTGACAGGGGAGAAGCTGACCTGCTTTATAACAAGCCACTCTCTGGTAACAACACCAGTCCCAAGAGACAGAACTCACTCCCAGAGACCTAGCAGCATACCTCTGATAAGAACACTTATGCATCTGATAAAATAAATTTTATGGAAATTAACACATAAAGCTTTAAAAAAAAATCAAGGCTTTTCTTTTCTGTCCTCTACTGCAAGCTTTTTGCAATTAGAGGTTATATTTTAAAATTCCTTGTATGTCTTACAGTATTTCGTATGATTTGTTGTAGATGCTCAATAAATATTTATCAGATAAGTGTCTGAAAATGAAATTTCTAAAACCGCATTTTTTTTCTTTTCAGAAAGTAGATTCGAATATTCACCTAAACACAGAGTACGAGCATCGGAGAGATTAAAAACACAATATCTCATCATCTCAAGAATGAGGGGGCACAAGTGGAGTGAAGAGGAGGCTCACAGTAGAAAATTGCTAATTGGAACTGGGCACAGGAGTTTCCCAGGATAAGATCATGTGTTTCTGTGTCCCTCAGGAAAGGCAAGGGTGGGCTTAGCCACCAGAGGGCGCCCATCTTCGCATTTAACAGTAGGCATGCATCCAACAGGAGATAAAGGGAAAAAAACCGTTGGAAACCCGGAAGGAAAAAACAAAATTAGGCATATTATGCATATGTTTACCCTCTTCGCCATTACACTGTCACCAGTGTGTGGATGTCAATGTGATAAGATGCCAAGGCATCTTATTACAGGATAAGAGACTTGAACATCAGTAAATGTGCTTTAAATACTCCATTCTCATGTTGAGGGGGCTTCCTGTCTTTCGTTGGCTGCAATTTGAATTTTACCTCTCGTGCTCTGTGATGTACAGACTGCCTGGAAGGTATTCCATATGTTAGGTAGGAAGGGGGAGCTGTGGTGAGCCACTTCCTGTGAGCCTGCTGAAGCTGTTGTTTGTTGGAATTTTAGTGCTTTATGAGGACTGGAAGGTTCTAAAAATCTAGGATAGCTAGAGTGCCTAGCATTTGCAATTTTTATTGTCTTCCCTTGGTTCTGTTCTGCTTGAACTTCAGGGTAGGGGATAGATGCTATAATCTGACTTGGGACCCTCTTGTTGATTTTGTGAATTGATATCACCCATAGGTGAGTTTTCCTCCTATCAATACCTTCTGACTCGTGATGGCCACCACCTGCTCCTTGGGGCTCGGTGATTTCACCACTAAATTTACCAGGCATGCAAATCACAACCTGTAAAATCCCTCATTGCATCCAGAGAGCCTTTCGGTTCAGAGAGGAGAGAAGGAAATGAATTTTTATTGAGGGCGAACACCAGGATGGATGTCCCAAGTCCATTCTTATTATCATCTCTTCTCCCCATAACCCTAACACAAAGCAGATATTGCGCCCCTGATTTGCATAAGAGGAAACCAAGCTTTGCAAGGTTGAGTGACTCACCCAAGATTGAAAGTGTTGTGGAAAGGGGGTGCATTGAATTTAGAATCTGGAAGGCTTGCATTCCTCCACGCTGACATTTTAGTAGCCCCCTAGAGTACTTGGGGCTCTCTTTCTGAGACCACCTTCTCTTTGAGCCATTTAGGGTTTCGGCCCCCCCTGGTGGAGTGTACTTGGTGTCTGCTGGGAGTGTGGCTTGATGGTTGCTGCAGTAGCCCAAGGACTGTTCCCCACATGTGGGAGGAAGTCGAGGGTGGAGCCCCCAGCCCCACCACCCACAGCGTGCGGGCAGTGCTGAAACCCAGCTGTGCAGGGCTTCTGCAGTAGCCGGCATGGTCTTCTGCAGCTGGGATGCACACAGGCAAACACAGGGGGTCTCCAGGCCACGAGATTTGACAGTGCTCCTTGCTGTGGACATATGTATCATGGCTCCCATTGAGTAGGTGGTATGAGCCTTGCTCCCAGGAGGAGGGCACAGTGGCCCATGGTCAAGAGGACACATGCCTTTTATGGCTCTTCCCTCACTCCTGCCGCCTCCACCTGTCACCTGGTGAGCCATGTTACTGAACAGGACAGAAGCAGGGGTTTGGTTAGGAGCTGCCGGTGCAGAGCAGCGGGCTTTAGGGGCCCCTTCAGGAAGCCACACCCAAGACGGTGGCCTTGAGATCCTCCGGGGCCAAACCCAACAGGTCACTGGAGAAGGAGCCCCCTGCAGCCCCACCTCCACACAGAGCATCACGAAGCAAGTCCCCTGATTGTCACGTGTGGAGGGGTCTCAGAAAGTTAATCTGCAAAGCAGCACTCACACGTGAGGGTTTTCTTTCTGAACGGGTTCGTCCGAGGGAGGACAGGCGGCCGCTGCTTTGATTGGATGCTGCGGGATTTGGGGAGACTCTTGAATGAGGAGGCAAGCGGAAGCCCGAGGGTTATTATAGGCCTATGAGTCACCGGGGCTGCAGGAAAATGACGCGGAGCCTGCGAGTGAGGGCGGGTGGGTGCCAGGAGGCAGCAGGCAGCGAGAGGAAGGGGGGTGGGGAGCGAAGGTGGAGGAGGGTGGAGGAGGGCCAGGGACCCCCGGGGTACCGTGTGCATATGTGCAGGATTTAAGGAACTGGCTTACCTGGTGATGGAGGCTGGCAGGTCCAGAGTCTGCAGGCTTGAGGTCCAGGGAAGAGCCCATGTGGGATTCAAGTCTGAAGGCTGCTGAGTGCAGCAGGAGTCCATCGGGAGCCTCTGCTCCAGCAGCCTGGGCTCTAACCCACAGCAAGGTACATGGAGGCCTGCGGTAGCAGGAAAAAGCCAACCCGTAAACTCGGCAGAGGCCTCGCATCCGCTCCTGGAGCCTGTCCTGCACTCTGCCTCAATGTCACCTCTGCCCGTCCACCCAAAGAGACCAGGCAGTCAGCCGTGCCGCCAGATGAGCTGAGCACCAGCATGAACTCGGGCAGTGGCTCTTCAGAACAGGCAGTGTTAAAGCAGCCTGGAGACCTCAGCTGCTCCGTTTCCAAGGAAAATCAAAGGAGAATTTCCATACATCAGGAGTCAAGGTGGTGTCCCACCTTGGCTGCGGGTCGGAGTGACCTGGAAGTGTTTTTAAAACTCCCTGTGCCCAATCCATAGTCCAGACCACTTAGGAATCTTTGGAGAATCGTCGGAAGAGCGTTCTGAGCAAAAGGATTTTCATAAGCTCCTCAGTGACTTCAAATACGCAGGCAAGGCTGGACAGTCCTGCCATGTGCCCGTCTGGATCCACATCCATGGCTGTAACAGAATAACGCAGACTAGGTACTTTATAAAGGGTAGAATTTTATACACTGGTTTTGTGGCTCAGAGGTAGAGCGCTTGGCTTGCCTAATATGCACAAAGCCCTGGGTCTCATCCTGGCACTGCCAAAAAATGAAAATAAAAAATAAAAAAGTAGAAATTCATTTGGCTCATAATTCTGGAGGCTGAAGACTAGGGCACCAGAATCTGCTCAGCCTCTGATGAGGCTCTTCTTGCTGTTAGGACACGGCCCAGGGCATCATGAGGCGAGCAAGTATGTCGGCTCAGTTCTCTTCCTTTATTTATAATGTCACTAATGTCACCGTGAGGGTCCCCGACCCCATGACCTCATCTAATCCTAATTGCTTAGCATATGAATTTGGGGGGCTAAGTTTCTAACACATGAACTTTTGGGGTACACACTCAAACCGTAACGACCCCTTAGCAGCATTGAGCATTTCCATTTCCCCTCACCGGTCTCAGCCATGCGGAGCCTACGCTGGGCTCTGAGCTACAGCCCCAGCCCACATTTCTCCTACTAAAGTTTCTGGGGTTCAGAAAGGAGGTGTTTCCACAATGACGAGGTTTCCCTGAGCCTGCGCCCCTCCCATATTGGCTGGAAAGCGTGAAAGGAAGGTGCTTAATGTTTTGACCTTGGGTTTCCAACATCATGAAGGACACAAGCAGGATTTGGTTCAGCTTGTGTTACATGGGAGAAGGGCCAGGCGAACTGAGCTCCGGCCTCCATTCTCTTTGGGTAATTCTTCGTTGAGAAGATCCATCAGATTCACTGAGCCTCAGTTTCTTTGTTCTCGACCTTGTCTATCTCCTAGGGATGTGGCGAGGCCCAGAGACAAGCCCACCCTGCAGAGAACACTCAGGAGTTAGCACACATTACAGGACAGACAAGAGGAAAGAGTCAAAAACTGGAATTTGGTAAGCCGCTGACCTTGGACCCTTAATCTCCTCGTTTGTCACAAAGTGGACGAAGGAATAATGTGTGGGGTTGAGAGGTGGGTCCTCCCTCTCCCTAGATGCTTGTTCACCTGGAACCTCAGAAAGTGGCTTTAGTTGGAAACAGGGTCCTTGTAGATATAGTCAGTCAAGGATCATTTCAGACCCTGCATCTATCCAATGACTGGTGTTTTTTTAGAAGACAATGGAAAGGGAGATTTGGAGAAAAGTCCAGAACTCCTGTAAGGTAAGAGACAGACCTGCAGGAAGGAAGCTTTGTGAAGGTGGAGGAACAGATAGGAATGATGCTGTGATCATCCAAGGATTGCTAGAAGCTTCTAGAAAGGAGGTTTCTTCCCTACAGCCTTCAGAGTAAGCATGGTGCTGCGGACGGACACTTGATTATAGACTGTTAGCCTCCAAACTGTGGGAGGCTGAACCTCTATTTATTTTTAAGCTGTCCAATCTGTGGTGGTTCGTTATAGTAACTCTAGGAATCTAAAACAAATAATAAGAGCTACACTACTTCCAGGTTATTGTAACTGTAATTAGGTTTTTGCAAATATAATTAGATTTGGTAATAAAGTTTTAGCTAAATGTTCATTTGAGGTTATTTAGACGGTGGATAAGCGAACTTGTGTGATGATAGTCCGTGCTAGGAGTACTTAGAGGGTATCTCAGGAGTGCTGGTGTGAGGGGTGAGGTGAAATGGCAGGCACGGAGTGCAGGAGGGGGCAAAGCAAGATGCGCTCAGGCAGTAAGCGACAGCAAAGGGCATCTCCGCCCACCTACCAGGGAATAGGGGTCTTGTCCTTGGTCCCTGTAACACAAGCCAGGCCCTGGAAACAGACATACATCACATTCGCACAACAGTAGCTTAGAGTTTGTTGGCTCTCATCTGGGGATCCCCTAGAGTTGTGTTTTCAAACTTTTCTTCAGTAAGTAACCACAGAACCAAGGTTCAAGAGCACATGGTGTTTCCATTAAGCCCTCTGGACTGGACAAGTCAGTTTCCGTTAATATCGTCAATATGGTACCCCCTTGGGGTCCTCATGTGACGTATTGCCGTCTGAAGTAGCAATTACCCACGGTCCACTACCATCAAAAACATGAATGGAAATCCCAGAAGTAAAGAGCTCTTGAGTGTTAAACGACGTTGATTATAGTGTATTGTTATAATTGTGCTCTTTCATTCTGAGGGACTGCTGTTAATATCTTATGGTGCCTTATTATAAATTAAACCTTATGATGGCCGTGCATGCGGGGTACCACTGGATACGGGGTACCACTGCACAGCCACAGACACCATCCCTGTCTTACAAGCCCAGGTCTACAATGGCTCCCAGCTGGGCTTAGAGTGCATCATTGAGTTGGGGGTAGTTTCTCTTGACTTGAGGCTTACAAAGTCGTCCACAATGCTGGGTGCGGAGCCCCTGACTCATCTAGGGAACGACGGTTCTCTTGGCTTCTTCCTGTAGGTCTGGTTGGATGCTACAAGGTCGTCACGGCAGAAAAAGCCTGGCAGAGGTGGTGCTTGGCGGTGCCAACACCATCTCTTTTACGATACAGAGAGTTTTACTTAACCGTGCGACTTTAAAAATCGGAAAAGTTGAGTTGTTGCGAGCACACAGAACGACAGCCTAATTGTCTTTTAGGATGTCGTGGGGAAAATCCTCATATGGAATAGAGCACGTCTTGTCTGAGCGTTTCCAGAGTCTCGCAGGCGATTCCCGACAAGGTAAAGTCATTCGGCATTTGTTTTCCTAACCACAGCGTCTCGCTTCATCATTCAAGTCTTAATAAAATTTAGTGTTGAGTGAAAACAATCCCTAATGTGTAACCAAATACATCTGCGCAGGCTAGACTTAAGCCTCAGCGGAAGGCTTGGAAGCTCTTGTAGTGGAATCCATCTTTCTCTCCCTCTGTCAGCATCTCAGAGGAGCGGGGTCTGGAGGAGCAGCTGCTCCGGGTGAGCTGGGACGGCCAGGCAGTTCTGCTTTACCAAAGCTGCCGTGGCACGGGAGGACGTGAACCTCCAAACTAATGCAGATGGCCAGGCAGGGGCTGCTGTGTTCCTACTCTGGCCAGGCGATCAATGCACATGGCCAGAGCCACACACACAGTACGCACTTTGCAATTATTTGTTGAATTAATGGAGGAATTCTACGGTGCGGAGGAGTGTCATGTGGTTCTGCTCCTTGAACTAATCCATTTTGTTTCATCGTCCCAGATGTGGAACACCGGTCAAAACTCAAACGTAGAGTGTCCTGTAAAAATGATATTCTCACATATAACATGGTTATGCTATAATATGCTAATGTTGATGTTAATCCACATTATGTAAGCTCCAGATGATTTCCAACCTATTTTAATGCATTTGTACCAGTTTTATTGATACATTCACAGAACTGAAAACTTGGGACCTTAATGGATTAAGTAGAACCCTGTTATCACCGAAGAAATGCATTATGTTTAACTACACCATTAATTAGATGAGGATGCCTGTTTAATGGTCACAATAGAGTTCAAATAATGGAAGAGGAAAGACTGTGACAGATAGATCTTGCAACCTTGATGTTAAGTGAAATGGGTCAAACTCAGAAGGCCAAAGGTCATGTGCTTTCTCTCATGTGTGGAAACTAGAGAGGAAGAAGGAGAAGAAGGGAGGAGGTGATCTCATGAAAAGCAAAGGGAGATTAGTAGAATAGAGGGAACGTTCTAGGGTGGGGAGAGGGGAGGGAGGAGGAAGTGCTGGGGTGAATGTTGGCCAAACTATATTGTTGTATTGTGTGCCCGTACTGGGATGTAACAACAAACCCCACCGTTGTTAACAACTATAGGCACCAAGAAAAAATGTGCTAAACGAAACAAAGCAAAATAATAATAATAATAATAAAGTTGGTGGTGGAGAGAAAACCATCGTGGCGTGAGTCCGACGGATCTGGATTCGACTTCCAAGTGCGCGTAAATCACTGAGCGCGTTACTTAACTCTGTCTGGACATCTAACACCCACTTGAAGTCTCTGTTACTCTCTGTGCTCTGTGGGGGTTTCACTGGTGAATAAGACACCCTTCCTGCTCCCACAGGGCTCCCTCTCAGGCTCCCTAATGCTTCGGGATCTCTGTGACTGGCTGAAATGATACCTGTTTGGGTAAGAAGGGATCTTAGGAAAGCTCAGCCCACCGCAGGCTCCTCAGGAGCCAGTAGAACCCAGCAGTTGTTCTACTTTCAGCCCCTGGTGCCAAACCAACACCAGCTTCTCTAAAACAGCTTAAGTTTTTATGGTATGAACCAGACAATCAAGATTGTCAAAGCTGTATCCTCCTTCTCTATTCCTCCAAGGGCAGGAAAACCTTAGTTGGCTCTCGGCTGCCAAGATCACGGACCAGCTTCATTTTGGGGGGTGCTGTAAAATGCCTTAGCTCTTTCAGGGAGGGGTGGAGGGCTGAGGCACACGCCCAGCCATCCCCTGGCAACTTGCACAGTGAACAGTTGTAAATTAGGTGACATTTGTCCTTAGAGCCAACCCCTTCTGTCCCTGCTGTTCCTTTTCTTACACTATCCTCCTTTTCCTACTCCTGAGCCTACTCCTTCCCATATTAAAACACACTTATAAAGTCACCCCACGTCCCTCTTTTGTTGTTGAACATGCACGAGTTTCAGCCAACACATCACTTTTCTTGGAAGTAGTTTCATGTTCAGATTGTCTTTCCATGTAAAGTGGGAGACTTTATTCCTAGCAGAGGATTTCTTCTTTCCACTTAGCAGAATATTTGGTGTGCAGTAAGAGCAGAGGTTCTTTCAGGCCTCTGAAGACTCACACGGTGGCAGAGGCTGATGGCCCGGTGGTACTGTGATGGGGTCAGACTAGGTCACCAACAAGACTTGGCTTCCGTGTGCTTCCTTCCCGCTAAAGGAGGCACGTCCCTGGGTTGGACGCAGCTAGCTGACAGGCTCTGTTTTGGGGAACCAGGACCATCCACACATCCAATCTGGAGCTCTACCTGCATGTGATCCTGATGCTCAAGGGCCCGCCTCATCTTTTTTCCTTATCGTTATGGTTTGGATGTGGTGTCCCCGAAAAGCTCACATGTGAGACAGTGCAAGAAGGCTTAAGGGTGAAATGATGGGGTTATGAAAGCCTTAACCCAGTAAGTGAATTAATCTCCTCATGGGGATTCATCTCCTCATGAGTGGTAACTGGAGGCAGGTAGGGTGTGGCTAGAGGAGGAGGGCATTGGGGATGACTTTGGGATCCATATTTTGTATCTGGTGAGTGAGTCTCTCTGCTTCCTGATCATCTGTGAGTCACTTCTCTCTGCCACCCTCTTCCGCCATGATGTTCTGCCTCACCTGGAGCCCCGAGGAATGGGGCTAGCTACGCACCCGCTCTGAAATTGTGAGCCCCTAAATAAACGTTTCCTCCTTAAAAATATTCTTGTCAGGTCTTTCAGTGACAGCAATGAAAAAGCCGACTAAAACACTTATTAATTTGTCCTATGTCCCATTCTATCCACGTTCTCTCCACTGCAAAGTCATGTGAAACTGTAATTTGATCATCAGTCTTAAAGGAAATCTGGTATTGACGGTGGAGAGAGGACCTTAAATGTTACTGTTCTCTCTAATGTTGGGGACCTCAGCTTCCAGGGAAGCCTAAGGTAGATGGTATTTGGTAATGAAGTCTGTAAGAAGCTGCCATTCATTCTCTGGTCAGTTTATATCCTCAGTACTATCTATCGACGTGGAATTAAGCTTCCTTGGGGATAAAGACGGGTAGGCATGGCACTTGGCCTCAGGAGTTTGCCATCAGGCAGGATAGAATGGGGGATCCCGAATGCCAGGCACTTGCAGCCACCACTTTGGATAATCTTATCTAATCCT